TAACACAATGCTAATTGATAAATTTACATTTCAAACAAACTTTCTCTTCTATAAAAAACGCACAAAATGTACCTTAAATCTTCGCTCGCTCGATTTTCCTTCAGCCGATTCTAGCCGCGAGGAAAACAGTGATTAATTCATCCAGGGCAAATTTGCCGCTTGATCTTTTGTCTTTTTTCCTTCAAAACGACAGCTTAGTATTTTCTTCAACTTCCACTTTTCATCTGTGCATTTCATCGGTATATTTTACCGTCAGGAGAAGAGTGTTGTTGAATTTGCCTAAATTTTACCGCGCTAGCTCAGTTTCTTGGCGTGCACCCACGGGCAAATGGTAGTGACTAACTGACCAATCAGAGCGCGCGATTTACTTTTGTTATGTTATAATACAAATTATTTGCATCCAGATACATAATATATTTATAAGGCTTCTTTAAATTATACGCCTTGATATATGGATTATTTGCTTCCAAATGCCGGTTAGCAATGTATGTAATCCCACCTCTCATACCCTTTTCTATAAACTGGAATTGGGCAACATCAGTCATTAATTCAAGTTAGATCCCTGTCATTTTGAGCATGGCGCTCCAACTAAGACCTAGTGATGTAAAATAATGGGCTGGATCTAATTGGTAATACTTTAGACATGTGCCCCTGAAATTCTCAAAAACATCAGCCAACGGCAGAACATCAGACTGATACAAATAATAATACTCCCCCATTGAATTTATCTGAAAAATATCCCAAACTTTTTGAGCATGCGGGTACTCCTCATCACTAATCCCTTCTTGGGTTAATATACTAAAGAACTCATCTTTTGTGGGCAACTCTTGGTAATCAAATTTTTGAAAACTATCCATAAGTCATAAGGATAGACACCCTTCCTTTTCATCAAAGTTAATTGCTCATTTTTAAGTACCTCTGTTGTGTACTTATATTTATCAAATAGCACTGGCATCTGTCTATGATGATCTTGAAACTGAACTGTAATTCCCTCCTTTGAAATTTACATCGCGCAGAATGCCTGGACATTATTAATTATTCATTGTCATCGAAGCGGCAAATTTGAACGCGAGCGCGATTTGAATAGCCTAGAATTAGAAGAGAAAGGGCCCAAATTGGTCAAGTAGGAGTAGTAATAGACGAGGGGTTCTGCGCAGTGGTGGAGGTGGTGGAGTGACGTCACAATAGCTCAGGGGATTAAAATAATGAGATCATCATCTAAAAATAGAAAGGTATTTTGTATAAAAATCTAGGGAGTTGACGTCATCAAAAAAACGATGAGATCATCATCAAAATAATCATTTAGTATGGTAACTGGTGAGATGACATCATCAGCTTAAATTAGAAAGGTTTTTTGACATGATCAGCTATTTTCTATAGTCTATGACATCATATTTGTTTTTATCTTTTAAAGACCGTATAAATGAAGGTCATTATAATTATTAAATATTGTTGTCATCCAAAACGAAAATGGGTCTTATTCAGTCTTTCATAAGAATAAAGTTTAATCATTATCGTATGATCGCGAGGGCCATAGTTCCCCCCTCGAGAGAAATAACGTCTCTCAAGAAAACATTTTGCGACCTCCCAGGGTCAACAACTTCCAAGCTGAAAGAACTCCATTGTGAAGTATTTCTAAAAGTTAATTTAGGCAGACTCTTGGTGTTCTTGAAATTTGCAGAGGATCTCGAACTGACGCAGGAAGAATGGGGCAGTTATGCCGTTATTTATCCCACTTTGTTAAATCTGAAAGCAGTTATATAAGGCGATGATGTAAGCATTAAAATCATTAAAGACTCGAACATTGCAAAGTGATTAGAGCGATGGGTTCTTGTCCACCATCGACAACGTTTGGACATCGTTAGTCAGTTATTTATGCGAGTTCGCAAGCTCACCGTTGCATGCAAATTAGTTCAGCTCTGCAGGAAAAATCCCAAGAGAGAACCTTCAAGTGACTTATTATCATAAAAACGATAAAAACAAGATAATTTAACAAGGATCAATTAAAACACGCGACTCATAATTGCTAGCAATAAAACCACAAGAGAGATACCGTTTTAAAAACTTTATTTAAAGTCAATAACAAACAAAAAAAGAGTCAAATACACAGCGATTTGAAAGCAAAAGGAATGAAAATTAATCCTTTGACTGACTATTACAAATCAGTTTTTTCCGTTCCATTGCGAGGAATAATAAATAATCCTTCCGTGTCTATACAATTTTCCTAGGACGTCGAAGCCAAGAGTTCGACTTTCTTTGTTTCTTGCGTTTTGTCTTGTACTTTGTAGTCGGTCTTTTAGCTTTTGCTTCAAAAGAGACGTCATTTCCTCGTGATCTTGACAGTTCTTACACCGTTTCTTGTGTCTGTATTGGATTGCGAGTACTAGTTGAGTGATTTTTTCCGGAGTTATCCGCTTAATTTTCGTAAACGACGACTTTAACTTTAGGTTGCAGTTTCGCTTCTTGTTGACAGTTCGATGGATGAACACAAATGACATCTTTTTCGCAAATAGTCAGGTTATGTAGAGTGTCAGAAAAGCCAAACACAGGCCAGAAAGGCCATAACCAGGCCTGAAAGGCCAAAACCAGGCCAAAAGGGACAAAAGGAGACGAACGGGCCATTTCTAGTCATGTATCTTTATTTTCTCAGACACACGCGTGGGTGTCGTGCGTCGCTAGTCACGTAACTGCTCTCTTTTGGAATCATCATCTTATCAGTGTAATCACAAATGACAGTGCCTAATTAAAAACGTTTTGATCGTAAATTAGTAATTGGTATTTCAAATTTCAGATTTTTTTATTTATTGTATCAGTTTACTATTATTGTTATTATTTTCAGGTCAGCAATAAAGCACTCTTAAAGTTTGGTTGTTTACAGGTTTTATTGAAACGCAACAATACAAAGGTCTAGGAAAAATAATTCTATAACATTCAAAAGGGTGAAAAAGGAGCTTAAGCGAATGCGAAATCGTACTGATTTTCGGGCAAAACATGAAAACGAGGTCGAAGTATAGAGGTTACCCACCCAAGGACGAACCCATCACGACAGGTCTTAAGAGCGGATGTCAGTAAATATCGATCAGAGGTCTACAAAAGAGAAGAATCGAAAATTCTCAAAAAAATTCACAAAGTAGCACTAAGTAAGCTATTAACATAAATGTAATTTTTGCTTCCATCCGATAATTATTTTCCACGTACGGGGGGGTTATTGGTTTCGCGGCTCTCGGACCGGGTTTTCCAGGCCCCAGACCATGTGTCACAAAAAAGTCGTTTTAAAATTCAAATCCATTGTAATGCGGACAACAAATAACTTATTCAGAAGAGTACATAATTGCACACATTTTAAGTGGTGATTTACTCACTGCATTTTGAACGAAAATGTAATATTTTGGAGATTTTTCATTATTGTCAATATTTTGAACGTTTTCGTTCAATGAAAAAATGGCAAATTTCAAAGCCCAAAATCGTCGACAGGTACCTTGATTTCAGTAACGAGTCTTATACCACGTTAAAGAGCGTTATCTCTTCTTTCAAAATCTGTTTTCAAAACTATGGGCAACTTAAAAGAAGATGTTTGAGGCCAAAAGATACAAGTAGTACTTTTCTGAAATTTGAGCTTTCCAGACTCAGCCGGCCGATGCTAAAAACTCAGAAAAATGCAATAAGAAATCAGTTTGAGCAACAGTGGTTTAACGTTATCAGCTATCAGAAACCAACACGTGTTTATCGAGCGATCTGATAAAATTTAAAGCCGTTTTCCAACAAGAAAAATGCAATAAGAAATCAGTTTGAGCAACAGTGGTTTAACGTTATCAGCTATCAGAAACCAACACGTGTTTATCGAGCGATCTGATAAAATTTAAAGCCGTTTTCCAACAAGAAAAGCAGAGTTTAGTCATCTTCTGCTACCAAACGCACGAGTCACGTAAGGTTGTCAAAGGGCAAAGCACAATAATAAACTTCAAAAAGTATGCGTCCAGGAATTAGACTTTAGCGGACAGAACAATGCCTACGAGTGTATGTTTCATACCTTAGCATGGGTTTCCGAGATACTGGAAATAAAAAAAAAAACATCAAGGACAGCATCGGCGAGAGCATCTTCGGCTGCTCTCAAACGATGGAGATTGCGTTACTTTTCACAGATTGACCGCTTACCACCTATTTTTGGACTCGCATTTCAACGGAACGCTTGCGTCGAGAGGCGCGCGGCACGGATCTGAACTCTTCTTAACGAGACATTGAACTGAATTTATCGGAAATATGCCACCACCAACAACAAAACGAGCTTTTTTCGGGTATTTGTCGTTTTTTATACGAAAAGTTTGGGTAAGCAGATTCAAGCAGAAAACCATTTGGCTTAAAAAATGTGTTTAAAAGCCCGCCCTGGATTTGAAGCAAAAAGTATTTCCTCGAAATAAGCTAAAAAGTACTCAATTTACGAGGTGAAAAAATGGATGATTATGGAAGGATTATCGAATTCTTGCCTAACCTGATTTCCCAATTTCCCGTGATGTAGGATTAGGAGTAGGTAAAAGGCCCATAGCCTGCTCCTGTCGTTGTAAATTTCCTCAAGATCAACAATTTCAGTAAGAACCGACAAAAACAGCGTGCACACACCTTGACCTAGCCAGGAAAAAGGGGCTTCTGATTGAGCTAAACTGTCATTGATGCACGGTGCAATTAGTTAGACCTGTTACTATCCTCCGCTCAACCACAGGAACAAGTCCAGCCATTTGGGTCCGGTGGTGGGGAGTGCTTTGAAGCGGTCATGTCGGGAGCTTTCTGGGGTAGGGGGCGGGGCAAATCGAAAATAACTTCTCTTTGTTTTTGTGAAGTACATCATTTCTCGCACGGTTGACAAGGTGACAGCGGACTCCATAGCTGTGGAAAGACCCTTTTGAAACATGTCCCGGCAACATGCAGGGCATCACGAAATTGACGTCAACACCTTGAATCAACTCCATGAACAGGGAGAGGCGATAAGTCCCATCTCAAAAGATGCTTGATGTCTAGACGTGAATAGTCTGTCCGCAGTCATTTTTCATTTTTTATATCGGGACCATTTGACAGCGCACGAGTGAACTGGAGCGCAGTAACGAGTCCTAACCCCACCCCATTGCCCTTGCGGTCAATAAATCATCGCGTTTTTCATTTTTGTTATGCGCGTCCGAGAGCCTCCAAAGGGAATATTGAGGGTCTTTGTACAGTTTCAGTTTATATTACCGACAAAAAAGAACAAAACAAAGCAAAAGACAAGTATACAGAAATAGGCAGAAACAATGTGGTGAGGAAGCCCAAAAAGAAACCATAAGGCTTAGGTCATCCCCTTTTCGTTCATTCGTCGAATAGGTTTCCTGGTTTTGGGTGGGCCGGTCGGTGGGGTAAAAAAAAATCACAAGGATTAATATAAGTCCAAAAAAATAGACCTTGTCGTTTCTTTTTCTTGCTTTTTTAAAAAATGCCAAAAAACTGGGTCTGTTGGACAACACTAAACGAAGAAAAAATTAATATAGGTATTAAGCTCCCTTAAAGTATTAAAGTATACGTTTACAAGGACAGGTTCGAACGTATACTGAGTGACTAAATGATAAAAATTTGATCAAAATTAAATGAAAGGCTAAGAGTCTAAGCGCTGTCTGATAACGAAACGGTAAACAAGAAGTGCTGCCTGTCATTTAATAGAGACGTGTAATACTGGGTGGACCACATCCTGAACTCCTGCGAAAACCGGAAGAGAGGAACACTCAGGGCTAAGGAGACTAAACAGGGGCGTAGCTACTTGTACGCACGATTCGCACGTGCGTACCCGAAAACGTTGAGGAGAAAAAATAGAATGAAATAAACATAACTAAAAAAA